AAATATAAAAATAAATTTTAAAAGAAGATAAAGCAGAGAACTTGCTCACATTCTCTTCTACAAGGCATGCAAAAAGAGGTCAAATGTGGAAACAGAAAGAAGGCTGCTGTCTGCAAGCCAAGAAGGGAGCCCTCGCCAGAAATCAAATTAGCCTGGATATTGGATTTCCATCCTCCAGAACTGCAAGAAAATAAATTTCTGTTTAAACCACCCATTCTGTGGTATTTTGCTACAGTAGCCCCAGAAGACTAATGCAGTACCCTTCTATATTTATCATTTTGGAACCAAAATGGTCAAATCAGCCTTAGGCATCATATAAATTTCATGAGCTACTTCTCATTTTTCTTCACTGGAATCACTGGTGACTGTGTTGTCTGATTCTTACACTTTAGAGCTTCCCAACCTTTCTGAACCATCTTTCCCTTGAGGATTTCTGATCATAAAAGTAGAAGTTTCCCTTTTTCCCCCCCAAAACATTCTGAAATTTTCTTAATACACTTCTGCCCCCAGTTCCTTTCCTTCACCATTGTTACAGGCAGTTGTTTGCTAAAGGGTCCCTGACCGCATGCCCCTAGTGGGGAGAGAGGTGTCAGAATCATGTGCTTATGAGCATGCTCTCTACTTAACCTGCAGCCAAGAGAACAGATAAGGTGTGGTTAGCTCCAAACCCTGGATGATATGATCTCTGCCCTTCCAGTGACGTTGACCAAAACTATAATAGAAGAAGCCTATACAGGACAAACTAATTATATCTTCCCTAAACCTGTGCATCTTTTAGACCAACGCTGTCCAACACTAGCCACATGCGGCTATTGAGTGAGCATTGCTAGCCTTGACTAAGATGTGATGTAAGGATAAAATACACACCACATTGAAAGCAGAATGGTGGTTGCCTGAGGGAAGGGAGAGTGAGGAGTTACTGTTATTTAATGGGTACGGAGTTTGAGGTTATAAAATGAAGAGTTCTGGAGATGAATAATGATGGTTACACAAAACTATGAATGAACTTAATACCACTGATACATTTAGAAGTCTATTGCTTCTCAGCCTTTTGGCTAAGACCAAATGTGATACATTGACAAGTCAAGATGATAAATTTTATGTTATGCATATTTCACCACAATTAAAAAAAATTTTAAATCTGCTTTAAGGTACAATCTGAATAGCCCTCAAAATAAGAATCCCCCACAATCTGCAGGTGAGGGGGCAGCCATAAAAGAAAAAAAAATAGAAAAAATATACACTGTATTTCAAAGACTTGATGTAAAATGAAAGTGATTAATTTTTATATTGATTGCATGTTGGAATAATACCTTGGATATTGTCTTAGATTGGGCTGCTAACAACATATCAGAGACTGAGTAGTTTATAACAACACAGTTATTTCTCACAGTTTTAGAAGCCAGAAGTCCAAGATCAAGATGTCAGCATGGTTGGGTTCTGGTGAGGACCCTCTTCTGGGCTGCACACTGCCCAGAAGTCATATCTTCACATGGGAGAGGGCAGAGAGAGGAATCAAGCTCCCTTGTGACTCTTGTAAGGTTACCAATTCCATTCATAAGGACCCTACCCTGATGACCTCACCTAATCCTAATCACCTCTTTAAAGACCCACATCCTAAAACTATCGCATTGGGTGTGAGGGTTTCAACATATGAATTTGGCAAGGGAAAAGAATGCAAATTCAGTCCATCCCAGATATTAGGTTAAGTAAGAAACATTATTGGGCCAGGCACGGTGGTCATGCCTGTAATCCCAGCACTTTGGGAGGCCAAGGCGGGTAGATCACTAGGTCAAGAGATCGAGGCCCTCCTGGTCAACATAGTGAAACCCCGTCTCTACTAAAAATACAAAAAATTAGCTGGGCATGGTGGTGTGTGCCTGTAATACCAGCTACTCAAGAGGCTGAGGCAGGAGAATTGCCTGAATCCAGGAGGTGGAGGTTGCGGTGAGCCGAGATCATGCCATTGCACTCCAGCCTGGGTAACAAGAGAGAAACTTTGTCACAAAAAAAAAAAGAAAGAAAGAAACATTATTAATTTCACCGGTCTCTTGAGTTGGTTCTTTAATTTGGCTACTAAAAAATTTTAAACTACCTAAATAAATAGCTTTGTGTTTCACATTATCTATTCTTTAATTTCTAAATGTTTCAAACTGACAGAAAAAAACGATATGTATTTATCATGTACAACATTTCTTTTTTGTTTTTTGCTTTTTGAAACATAACATTTCAAGTGTACATTCATTGGTGAATCATCAAAAGCACTACTTCACAGTTATTTTTCATTTTTGTAGTGGAAACACTAAATGTCCTCTTTGTATTTTTCTTTATTTTTCCTTTTTCCTTCTCTTTAAGACTAGTCAAATGCAGCAGTAAGAAGCAGGGAAAGAGTAGAACAAAAAGTTCAGTTCACAATTGACTCAACAACCAGTTGCAATAACTCACTACCTTCGAACTAGTCTGTATTTTTCAATATATTTCTTCATTAATTATAGTCACCATGCTGAAAAATATATCTTTCTCTTTTTTCTTTGATGGGGGTTGGTGGGGGGGGGGACTGGAGTCTCACCCTGTTGTTCAGGCTGGAGTGCAGTGGCACAATCTCAGCTCACTGCAACCTCCACCTCCTGGGTTCAAGTGATTCTCCCACCTCAGCTTCCCAAGTAGCTGGGACTACAAGCAGGCACGCCATCATGCCTGGCTAATTTCTGTATTTTTAGTAGAGACAGGGTTTCACCATGTTGGCCAGGCTGCTCTTGAACTCCTGACCTCAAGTGATCCATCCACCTCGGCCTCCCAAAGTGCCAGGATTACAGATATGAGCCACCATGCACCCAGTCATTTTTTGCTATTTGCATGAAGAATGCCAGTGGTATTTTAATAGAGAGTGCATTGAATCTGGCTGGGCAAAGTGGCTCATGCCTGTAATCCCAGCACTTTGGGAGGCCAAAGCAGATGGATCACCTGAGGTCAGGAGTTCAAGAACAGCCTGGTCAACATGGAGAAGCCCTAGCTCTACTAAAAATACAAAAATTAGCCAGGCATTTGGCACCCGCCTGTAGTCCCTGCTACTTGAGAGGCTGAGGCAGAAGAATTGCTTGAACCCAGGAAGCGGAGGTTGCAGTGAGCCAAGACTGCGCCACTGTGCTCCAGCCTGGTGACAGAGCAAGACTCCTTTTCAAAAAATATATATATATATTTTCAAATTCTATTTGTTGTAACATCAAACACAGATATAAAAGTCTCCAGCGTATAGGACCTCCACCCTACAATGTTAATTAAAACAGGAGGGAAATTCGCTGGTGGAATCATTGGAAACTTTCAGGTGTGATTCTTTGGAGGAGAACATGGGGGCAGAAGCAAAGTCAATTATTTTTTAGGAGTTTCATTGGATTTTAAAAACCTTTTCTTTCAAAGTTGTTAACTGAAATGTCAGGAATCAGTTACATTGTTCACTGATCCCTTCCCCAAACAAAGAACTTGCTTCTTGGAGGCCCCTGATAAATCACTAGAGATTGAAGCGCAAGAAAAGAAACATTGGTGACTGGAGATGCTGTTCCTAGACCTCCACAGGCTTTGCAAGTATCTTGGCAAATATAGTTAAATAAAATATTGAAAAAGATTGTAGTGATCTTGCTTTTTCTCACTGTGTGTGTTTCAGATGTAATGAGAAGAAAATCACTAGTTTATGACAATCTTATATAGTTGAGTTTGATAAGAATGATGTAGAAATGCTTCCCAATAAAAAAGAAAGAAAGAAATCAAAGTCCAATAAAGACCCAGAAGAGAATAGAAATTACTAAAAGTTACAGGTTTTAAAAATTTAGTTTCAAGATATTTATCTGAAAAATCATAGATCAATGTAGATAAAAATTAACATTGTCCTTCCATATTAGCATTTGGTATTAGCACTTGACAAATACTTAAATGTTGAATGTCTGATGAGAATTTACTTCCCAATTAGATTTTTTAGTTGTTTATTTTCACATTTCTTGAGGCAAGCGGTACAGAATGTAGTGGCCAAGGTCATGGCGCAGGAGTGGTTTGAAACCCTGCTTCTCTACTTACTGTGTGTCTGACCATGGGCAAATTACTTAACCCCTCTCCTCCCCAGTTTGCTCATCTGTAAAATGATGGTGATGAGAGTCCTTATCTCTTGCGGCAATAATGAGGATTCAATAGGACAGCTTACATAAAACTCTTAGAATGGGGACTGGCATTTAGTAAGAGCTCAATACATGTTAGCTATTTTTATTTTAAGTTCTGGAATACAAGTGCAGAATGTGTAGGTTTGTTACATAGATACATGTGTGCCGTGGTGGTGTGGTGTACCTGTCAACCCATCATCTAGGTTTTAAACCTCGGTTACAATACTATTTGTCCCAATGCTCTCCCTCCCCTCGCCCCCTACCTCCGACAGGCCCTGGTGTGTGTTGGTCCCCTCTCTGTGTCCATGTGTTCTCTTCGTTCAACTTCCACTTCTAAGTGAGAACATACCATGTTTGGTTTTCTGTGCCTGTGTTAGTTTGCTGAGAATGATGGCTTCTGGGTTTATTTTTACTTATGTCATGCCAAACCATACAATGTTATGAAAATTACTGTGATTATTGATCAACCACATAGGCCATTGGAGGAAAAATAAAATAAATTCTCAATGTTTACAGAAGAATACAGGAAACTGCTTTTCTTAAAATGTATTCACATGGTCTTTCATTTCTAAAGAAGCTGGTGTTGGCCAGGCACGGTGGCCCATACCTGTATACCTGCACTTTGGGAGGCCAAGGCAGAAGGATTGTTTGAGCTCAGGAGTTCCAGACCAGCCTGAGCAACACAGTGAGACCTTGTCTCTAGAAAAAAATTTAAAAATTATCCCAGTATGGTGGTGCATGCCTGTAGTCCTAGCTGCTCGGGAGATTGAGGTGGGAGGATTGTTTGAGCCCAGGAGTTTGAGGCTACAATGAGCCATGATTATGCCGTTGCACTCCAGCCTGGGTGACAGAGCAAGACCCTGTCTTAAAAAAAAAAGCTGGTGTTAATCTCCCCTTCATGTAACCCACTGCACAGATGTGTGTAGCTCCAAGTGCATACAGCCTTCCATCTCTCTGCCTAATGTTACAGGAGAGTGCAGCTGGGGGAATTACAGGCAATTTCAATGAGGGGGAATAGGTAGAAAGGAAACAGCTGGAAATCCCTGGAGTAACCTTACTCGTCTGAACAAAAGTACACATCAGACTGGCAGAACTCTTGTTCATGTTCAAAACCAAAGGTTGGTAAACTTTTTCTGTAAAGGACCAGATAGTAAATAGTTTTAACTTTTGGGCCATACGGTATGTATCATAACTGCTCAGCTCTACTTCTGAAGCACAAAAGCATCATAGATAACAAAAAAAAAAAAATGAATTGTGTCTGCCTTCCCATCAAACGGTACATACAAAAGCTGGGATGGGTCATAGTTTGCCAACCCCTGATCTGGAATACACCTGAATGTGGTGCATAGCCTTCATTACGTTTTTGTAAAATTGTCTCAATTTGAAGCTGGAGGTCCTTTCTTCCCCTCTGAGATTCCTTCTTCCACTCCCCCCCTCCCCCCCATTTTCTATCTGCAGCTTTATTCTGGTGGCAACCCAAAAGGTCAAGGCTTGGCTCCATCCCGCAGCACAGCAGGATATTGGCACAGACTCAACCCTCCCAGGTTCTCAGAATGGAGCTCATACAAAGCTAAGCCTCTTGATGATACTGACGACCTCACAGAGCTCAGTGCTTAGTATATTTTGTTTTTGGAGATAGGGCCTTGTTCTGTCATCCAGGATAGAGTGCAGTGGCACAATCTCAGCTCACTACAACCTCTAGCTCCCTGGATCAAGTGATCCATCCATCCCAGCATCTGAAGTAGCTGGGACCACAGGCACAAGTCACCAAGTCTGGCTAAATTTTGTATTTTTTGTAAAGATGGGGTTTCACCATGTTGCCCAGGCTGGTCTTGAACTAAGCTCAAGGGATCTTCCTGTCTCGGCCTCTCAAAGTGCTGGGATTACAGGCATGAACCACCATGCTTGGCCAAGTAATTAGTTTTTAATGGAAAATGAGTCTGTATCTCTTAAGATCTTTGGAAAGATATCCATTCTTCTTCCCTCACGGCAGCTAGCACAATGTCCTACACCCAGTAAGTATTTGTTGATGTTACTTTGAGGTCATGGCAACTGTGACTTTATCCCTTTGTACAATAGTTTGCTGAAGACCTGGCTTTCTAGTTCCAGAAGCAGAACTGAAGCAAATTCCTTTTCGTTTGGGAAAACAGACCTTTTGCAAAGAGACGGATTCTCACAGGAAAACAAACCTGTCTTCCTGAGACTCATAGGGGAGTGAGTGGGGAGGTGCTGGAATCCTCGGGGGAAATTATGGGTTATGGTTTCTTTCTGTTCTAGATAAGGGTTGGGCACAGGCAGATCCTGAGAAAAGTGGAGTCCTTTATTGCCCAGTGGGAGATGGCATTTCCAGGAGCAGTCCTGGCTGGTGCAATGGTAGCTGCTTGTACTGTTTCTTTAGGCTCTTATAGGGAGATAGCCAGGGCGGCTCCCTAAAGAAAACAGCTGGGTGGAATCCTTATCCTTATCAACATGGCTAGATCACAGGGGCTGCTGGCCTTATCCTATCGGGGCAACCAGTGATTTCACCATGTCACCAACTACTCCTTTAGAAACCAACCGCATTGTTACATTTCAAGCATAACACTAGTGCCCAAATCCATTCTGTCATATTATAACTCAGCTGCATCAGCAAGTTTATTGCGAAAATCCTAGAGTCTCAAATACTTTATGAGACAGCCTGAAGATGTAAGAAAGTAAGTCTAATTTCACCATAGCATTTACTTGGCTGTGTGTACGTGCACACGCCACGTCCCGGGAATGAGAAAATTTCCCCCAAAAAACTCTAATCAATTCACTTTAGTAATTTCTTGTTTGTTTCACTCTGATACTGAGTTTTCTTCTCATTCAAACATTCATTTATTCATTGAAATATTAGAAATATTAGTCGAGTGTCCTCTATGTATCTATCCATTGTCCTAGGTACTGTGGATACCACTGTAAATAAAACATGTAAAACACTTGCTTTCGTGAAGTTTATATGCAAGAGTCTGACAAAGAAATATGCAAGTGAAATATGCAAATGTCAGATGTTGCTAAGTGCAATGGAGATCAATGAAGTAGGGAAGGTGGTGAGAGAGCTGCAGAGATGTAGACTGGTTGGGGGGGTGCTGTGAGCAGCGGGACTCAATCCCTCCCAACCTGGCCCCTGTCACTCGTTCAGACTAGTGCATCCCTCCAGAGAGCCACCCTCGATCATCCTGGGCCTTCACAGAGGCTACCCTCCTGCCCTTGTCCCTACTCACTTAGGCGACCCCTCCTCACACCGCAGGGCTCAGCACACTGGCCTCCAGAGAGCCCCGCTTCTTCCCTCACCAGCGCTGACCTGAGGCCCAGGCCACTGTTCTCTGGCCCCACTTCACCTGGTGCTTCTCACGCTGAAGGAGCTTCATGGCTGGGGGGCCTTCCTGAAGAGGCTATGGGCTCATGGAGGGTAGGGTATGTCTGTTTCCTCTGTGTCCATTACATAATCTCAACCACATGAGGAAGGAAAAACCCTACAAGGAAAAAAAAATATTCTCTCCCTTCTCAATGGTTGACATCAACCATTGAGAGATGAAAGAAAAGGAATTGAATATTTTGCATGTAGACATGAGGAGATCTTCAAAATCCAAAAGCTATTTCAGATTTTGAAATTACAAATGATTGAAAACCACCATGGCACGTTAAACCTATGTAACAAACCTGCACAATCTACACATGTACCCCAGAACTTAAGAGTACAATAAATATAGAAAAAGAAACTACAAATGAAAATGCTGTTGAAGCGTTGTACCAGTTTAAATAGCTGGGAAACGAAATATCAATCTCTATAATCCATCTAGACAAAAAGCACTTACTTTTTAAAAGAGGAAGATGTTTTGGGGACCAAAAGAGAGAAAACCTCTGTGAAAGATCCCCAGCCATGATTGGCCCCTGCTTTGCTCTGAGCTCATGAAAAGCCTTTGTGATGTCATAACAGACAGGCCTATATAAGGCCTTGGCTGGGTCATGGTTTTTGGTCTGAGAAATCCCTGGAAGCTTTTTTGGTGACCTGTGGACTCAGACCAGCTTAGCGATTACGAGTTGTTTGGGGTGGTGGGGGGAGTTTTTGTGGGAGGGGCGTTGTTTTTTCTGGGTAGCGTTGTTAGCATAGTTAATATAGTTAGTATTGCTTAGTGTTTTAGTGTATTTGGGATAGTAAGTAGTGTTGTTTACTGTAGAGTTAGAGTAGTTACTTGGATAGTGTATCTAGAGATACCATGAAGCAGGGAGTGGCCTCCACCTCACCTGCCCTGCGGCCACCTTACTATCAAATACTGAAATTCATAGGCCGTGGTGCCTTTGGCGAGGTCACGCTGGCCCGGCATTTAATAACTGGCACCCGGGTGGCGGTGAAAACAATCAACAAAACCGGCCTCCTCTCTAGCCACAGAGAGACGACTATTTTAAAGTCGGTGAGCCACAGTAACATCATTCGGCTTTACCAGATCATTAATACCAGAGAGGCGTGCCAGCTGGTATTAGAATACGCAGAAGGAGGAAGCCTGGCCGACTGGCTCGATAAAAACATCATAAAGGAGGAGGAGGCCCGAGGCATGTTCCAACAAATGCTGTCCGCCGTGAGCTACCTCCACAAAAGAAAAATCGCTCACCGAGATCTAAAACCTGACAACATGCTGTTAGACGGTAAAGGACATATCAAAATTTCCGATTTTGGATCAGCCACGATTTATCATGAGGGGCAGAGGCTGAGAGCAGGTCATGGGACCCTCCCCTACATGGCCCCAGAACTCTTTGGGGCCCAGGGCTATGAATGTCCCGCCATGGACATATGGAGCCTAGGCGTCACGTTATACCAGATGGTGTCCAACAGTCTGCCCTTCTTCGCAGTGAGTCGTTTCCAACTGATATCCCTCATTCTATCTGGCCAGTATGTTATTCGGCACTATTTTTCAGAAGGCCTAAAAAGCCTAATTAAAAACCTTTTGATATCTAATCCCAATGAGCGGCCGACAGTAGACAAAGTCTTGAGGGACCCGTGGGTGAACAACGGCCAGGACTTGCCTCCAGCGACATACGAAGAGCTGATTGAAGACCACCCGAACTGTGAGACCATAAGGCTCTTGGTGGCCATGGGATTGAAGCCAGAAAACATCGTAAAGGCAATCGAAGACAACGTCTTTAATTATCCCATGGCCACCTACCGTATTGTAGATGGGGAAAAAAAGCCATCCATTACCACTCCACAGTCTCTTGCTCCTGGGGATCCTACATGTTTAGTCACTGAGATTTCCAGTTCACCTGCCGGCCTTCACAGGAAGTCAGACCCCCAGCATGCCCCCACGGCCTCCCTGACCATCGAGCGCAATTGTGGAGATGTAGAAAACTTGGCACGGCAAGCCCTCCAGTGTGACCGTGTGGCCTCCTCCATCGTAAGCGCCATAGGCGGTGGTGGTGCTTTAGAAACCTTGGCAGAGCAAGCCCCCCAGCGTGACCTCGTGTCTGCAGCCTTCACCAAGTGCTCCACCGGCAGCGAAAATTTAGAAACTTTGGCTCAACCAGCCCTCCCGCATAACCTCACGGCCGCCTCCACCCAGATCACCACCCAGAGCACCGTGGCTCAACAACCAGGACACGAAGGCAGCGTCCTCCAAGCTGGGCAGCCCGAGGCTGTGTTGACCCAGCCAACAAGAGGCTGGAGCTGCCGCAGGGCTGCCCGAAGGTGCATTGCCATAATAAGGAGATGCTGTTGCTGCCTCTGTCCACCCAAGAGGCAGAGTAAGAGGGCCCACCCAAGAGAAAAAGTAAGTAGGTGGGCGGTGAAGCCGCACTTCTTGCATTTTACTATATTTATTCTGTCTTTAGTAGTATTGTTTTAATTGGCAAATCTCCGGGGCCGGAGAGTGGCAGAGGGAGGGAATGGGGGGGTATTGGTCAAAGGACCAAAGTCTAGACAGGAGGAAGAGGTTTTGACTCTAGTGCACAGCAGGGTGACCAGAGTCAATAAGAACGTATCGCATTTTGCAAAACATGTTCATGTCAAATGTCTCTGCATTTAGATTGGAGAGGACGAAGGCCCTGAGGTCCAGGAGCAACCTGAGATGCCCAGGAGCAACGCTGGAGCCTGCAGCACTTTATATTAAAAAAATATAAAAATAAATGTATCATTCTGATAAATGACCATTTCTTGCTTCTTGCAAATTTTGTAGTAGCACTGGAAAGGTGGCAGGTGTGTTGCAGACACTCTGCTGCTTTGTGCCCTCCCTGCACAGGACCAGGGCTAAGAGAAGGGCAAGGCATGAGGCAAAAGAAAAGGCAGATTTACTAGCACCTGCCTTAGTTGAAAGAAAAGCGGGGATAATGAAAGGATGGAGGAGGACGTGCAAGAGAGCAAGAAAAAGATAGAGCTAAACCAGAGTCTAAAACCTGGCCCAGACTGGAGAACGGTCTATAAAGATCATGAGGTTTACCCCCATGCAATACCTAGTGGTGGCATATGATCCAAACTGGTGGGTCACTGTCTTACACTACTACTATTGTGGCTATAGGAGTATCAGGTAAAAATGAACAAAAACAAACCCTTTTGCCAATCAAAATATGTCACTGGAAGGCAAGAGGTGTGGCACAAGTTCTTATATCTTCCCAGCTGCCCTGTTCCTTTGTTGGGGAGGAATCTGCTCCAAAAACTACAAGTACAAATTTCTTTTAAGCCTAAAGATAACAAGACTTTAGGTTTTAAGTAACCAAAGACTATGGTATTAGCCTTCACAGTGGCAGTTATTTCCTAGGGATATTTCTTACACCAGAAATCATTCCTCGCTTCGGCCTACCTACCACCATCCAGTTGGACAATGGTCCAGCATTTACTGCCCAAGTAGTCCAGCTCGTTGCCGAGTCCCTCAACATCTAGATACTACACATCCCTTACCATCCTCAGTCATCGGGTAAAGTTGAACAGGCCAATGGCATCCTCAAAGACCATTTGGCCAAACTTGCTATTGAGGTAAAACTCTCTTGGCCCACACTCCTACCTCTTGCCCTGGCCCATATCCGGACCACCCCATGGGGGCCAACGGGCCTGAGCCCCTTCGAATTGCTGTACGGCCGGCCTTTCCTGGTTTCCTATAATCTCCCTACGCGACCACCACCACTGGCCTCCTACCTTTCGTTTCTCTCTCTCCTCCGCCAAGCACTCAGGGAGCATGCCAATTGCACTCTCCCTGTCATTCCAGGACCAGAGGACCTCCACCCGGCAGCACCTCTCCAGCCGGGTGACAGCGTTCTCCTCCAAGAGCTCAAACCAGGATCCTTGCATCCCAGGAATCCTGGACTGAGGGCCCCACCACCAGGACTCATAATCTTGCACAGGCAAACTGCCAAACAGGCAGCTGTCAGTCTACTGTCTCCATCCTCATCCCACATGGTAAAAGCACCATACTCGGTCGCAATCATGGGTTTCACTTTCAGCTGTGTTTTCTATATGACCAAACCAAGGACTACTGTCATTGGTGGGACACACCACCTATGGGGGGTGCCCATACAGCTCTTGTGTTATTCACAAGCCACAGCCTCCAAGCTGTCCCAACCACATGCTTGCTCACTTCAGCAATGGTTCCTTAGCCCTCAACATCTGTGACCCCGGCACAGCCGTTAGGATACAGGAGTGTCTGGTAAAGTCTGTGAAGATTATACCTGGAGCCACCCTCAGGGAACATGGCTAATATTTCGGTCCTATACCCGCATTGTCTCTGAAGCAATAGAACAGCTCAGTTCTGTAAGCCATACAATCCTGTAAAATGAAGCCATCTTAACTAACCAATTCAAACCCTCAGATAATACCTCTCAGTCTTTCTCTTCGTTGACTCTAGTACAGCAGGGAGCCAACATGTTAAATTTAACTAAAGATATGAATATCACCAACTGCTTTTTATGTGCCTCTCTCAGCAACCCCCCCTTAGCTGCAGTTCCCCTCAGGTCTGGGTTCAATCTGTCACAATCACCTATGGGACCCGGCACCATCTTAACAGATATCCCCTTGTTCCAAGTATACCCTCAAAATTTCTCTCTCTGCCATGAGACAGCCAGCAGCTCCAGTCCCAGCTATAACACCACAGTAAAGGTAAAATCCTCCCTCTATGCACCACCAAGAGGATATTTCTGGTGTAATGGAACCTTATCTAAAATTATTAATGCCTCCTTCCCTTTCCCTTGCGTGCCTGTCACTTTGGTCCTGCAGTTAGAGGTATATGGACCGGCCGAACTTCTATCCCTCCTTCCACCCTCCCCTAATCACCAAGACAGATGAGCAGTCTTCCTTCCACAGGTCGTTGGTCTCTCTCTAGCATCCTCTCTGGTGGCAGCCGAGCTGGGTAACGGCGCCCTAGGCTACAGTGTCACCTCAGCCACTCAACTAGAGGACAAGCTTTGTGTGGCTATCGAAGCGTCAGCTGCCTCCCTGGCCTCCCTCCAGCAACTCAAAAACGTAACTACTAGTAGCCTACTGTTGACTGGAAGCCTTACTGATGACACAAACAGTCAATTGACAAGTACTTGTATGTTACATGCGTTGTATACTGTATTCTTACAACAAAGTAAGCCAGAGAAGAGAAAATGTTATTAAGAAAATCATAAGGAAGAGAAGATACATTTACAGTACTATGCTGTATTTATCAGTAATACAAGTTTGTTGTGGTCTGTTTACAAGATTAATCATCTGTCGAAAGGGTGATGACTGCAGTTCAGACCTCAGTCTATGGTACAGATCAAGCAATTCAACTTTTTCTTGTAATGACATGACTTCCCTCTGCTTTTTGGGAGCACACCCAGCATCACTAGCGATATGTCATATGCATTCCATTGGTTTAGGAAGGGTTTACGGTATTGCACTAAACATGATGAAAATACACAAGAACTTCAAGAGATCACCTTTTAGTGTGATAGAAAATTGACCAGGGAGAGAAACTGCTCACGGGGAAATGATTAGCATCACACTTCATATTTTATTATTACTATTATTTTTAGATGAAGTCTCGCTCTGTCACCCAGGCTAGAGTGCAGTGGCTTTATCTCCATCACTGCAACCTCTTCCTCCTGGGTTTAAGCTATGCCTCCCAAGTAGCTGGGATTACAGGTATGCACCACGATGCCCAGGTAATTTTTGTATTTTTAGGGGAGATGGGGTTTCGCCATTTTGGCCACGCTGCTTTCGAACTCCTGGCCTCAAGTGATACACAAACCTTGGCCTCCCAAAATGCTGCATGCAGCATTTTAAGAGAATACTTGCAACACTTAAGCTCACAGCGATAGCAACAGGAAATGG